CTGATCTATTACCTTGCTCACTGATCTATTACCTTGCTCACTGATCTATTACCTTGCTCACTGATCTATTACCTTGCTTACTGATTTATTACCTTGCTCACTGATCTATTAACTTTCTCACGGATCTATTACCTTGCACACGGATCTATTACCTTGCTCACGGATCTATTACCTTGCACACGGATCTATTACCTTGCTCACTGATCTATTACCTTGCACACTGATTCATAATCGTGAAGACTGATCCATTACTGACACATTGCCAATTGCCTAGACTACAACACTGATTAGAAAGAACAGACACAAGTGTTCAACACAGTGATTCGGACCCGTACGGACACGAAACCTGTTTGTCGCAAATTTCAGTCTTTAGTATATAAAAAAAACAACAACAAAAAAACAAAGGGTGTTAACTGAATGAAGATTTAGCCCAAGTGAAGTAGAAATGTGTCTTATTTGCAAAGATCTAAAGACATCTCTACCAGAGAATTATCAAATCTTTACAATCTAAGATATCCAATAGTTAACACTAATCATTGGGAAAAATATATGGTCTTATTTGCAAAGATCTAAAGACATCTCTACCAGAGAATTATCAAATCTTTACAATCTAAGATATCCAATAGTTAACACTAATCATTGGGAAAAATATATGTGTATCTAGTCTCACACTTTTCAGTAGCATAAAATGTTAAAATCATAGTTGCAATGCAATACTTGCATCCTGCATGTCTTACTTATTGGTCCGTACTACAATAAAACAAAGGTTGCTACTAAAGTTTTCAAAACTCGGACACTTAAATTAATCCCATTGAGTGCATCACAGATTGAAATATTGGTTGTTTAAATGCGATACAACGTGTTCAGACCGTAAGAGACGGCTGCCACATTAATATTTTAAAGATGCATTTGAAACTGCCCGTTAGCCATGCATCGAGACGCTCTTGATACGCACCAACTATTTTATATACTCATGGCTGGCACGACGCGGTGAGGGTTGCTGTAGTGACGGCCTTACGGTGCCACGGTTCTCATCTTCTGTTTTTATTTGGCCTCGTTTTGTTTTTCATACTTTTTTTTTTTAAAATATATCTCTCATCTCCGCCTTAAGCCAAGGCCTAAAAAACTTGAGGGGGGAAAAAATTGAACACGCCATGGTCTACAAGTTAGTATGTGTACAATCAAATAGTGTGTCGAATCACGTCTCAGGAATTAAAAGTTTCTGATTCTTAATAAGTTTAGAATTCCAGGCTCCAAGTTTTAGGAAAATCGAGTGCGTGTCTGTGTGTTGTAAATACTAAAAATGGCGCTGTCCTCTCTCTCTCTCTCAGTTTGAGTACTTTAATAAATCAAACTTAAAATACGACCAAAAATATCCGTTTTTATACATCAAACCTGTACATAGAACATGTACATCAAACCTGTACATAGAACATGTACATCAAACCTATACGGTTACCGGAAATTTGTTTGAAAGTAATTTTGTCGACGGAAAATTGATCGACGGAAGTTTGGTTGAACGGCAATTTGGTCCAATTTTTGTTTGTTCCAGTTCACGCTACCTAATTTTGGTCCAATTTCTTTTTGAACGCACTTGACTCTATAGTCAAACAAAATAATGGGTTGAAACAGAAATTTGACGCAAAATTGATCGTGTGAACGGAAAATAAAATTCGATCAAATTTCTGTTCCACCAAACTTCCGTCGATCAATCTTCCCGTCGACGAAATTTCTTTTTTTTTTTTTAAATGTCCTGATACGTGTCGGGTCATGCGTTCAATTTTCGTCTGACCACTGTCTTCAATTCCTGCAATAACTACATTAAACATTCATTGGTCGCGTTCTTGGCAAGGCTGATATCAGTGACAGGTTCGAACTAAATGTTCATTTGGTGTATCCATATCAGGACTGGAGACTCCCGGCATTTTTAATGTATACACTGATCGCATCGAAAAACTGAGACGTCGTGTTTTAAGGTGAATAATGGTGCCAGTCATTATTGTGCCGTAGGCGGCTCTCGTCGAACATGTTCTAAACATTGTCAGTGAACATTGTATTACTTGTTAAACCTGTATTTAATTTTAAATTCTTTAGTGAATAGGGGCGTTAGTTAAAACCTTTATTTTGTAGGGCATCGGTTGTCAACCTGTGGTTACGCGGTGGGCAGTTTGGTGATACGCGATGAGCCGTTTGTGGGGTGCATGGTGGGCCGTTTGGTGATACGCGATGAGCCGTTTGTGGGGTGCATGGTGGGCCGTTTGGGGGTACATGGTTGGCAGGGTTTCTTTCAGATATATCTATAAACCCAAGTGCCCCCCGCGGAGCAAAAATATGTCTAACAATAAATCAAACTGGCGCTGCCCCCCTCCCCCCCCCCCGAAGTGCTCCCCCGAGGGAAAATTTCTGAAATAATCACTGATGGTGGGCTGTTTGGGGAACATGGTGGGCTGTTTGGGCGTACGCACAAATTATATTCATAATTATATTCAAAAGGTGGGAAAAAGATGGTGGGCTGTTTGGGGAACATGGTGGGCTGTTTGGGCGTACGCACAAATTATATTCATAATTATATTCAAAAGGTGGGAAAACTTGTTTTTTTTTTTTTAAACGAGTTTTTTGCACCCATTCATTTGTTTTTCACACCCGTTCTTGTGGGAAAAATTATATTTCATTATTTATTAACAGATTGGACCGCGGTAAAGCTTTTAATATTTTTCTTTATATTAACAAATTTTATCCACATAAATGGTTTTCCAATAATTGTTTAAAAGAACGATGCTGATTAGGTTGGTTTTTTGTTTTTGTTTTTTTGCGTTTCACGACAGAGATTTTTATTGCATTTTATTTTTTTAATTCGTTGTAGCCACGTTACTTGTTGTCATTTTTTAAAAGGGGCAATAAAGAAACTGAAAGAACTTGCATAGTATAAAATAGAATAAAATGTCATAAACTTATTATTATTATTATTACTATTGTCTTATATAGCGGGGTACCCCAGTGGGGTGTGAAAAAAATAACATACATTTAAGCATAAAAAACTGCTGTAAAAAAAAACTAAACAAAAACAAATGTTTATTCACCTCACCCACCCCAGAACTTTTACATGTCAAGCCATGGACAGCATCCAGCAGCATCATCGTTTATCGGTCAGAGTGGGGAGGGGAATCAGTCGGGTCAGTAGAGTTTAAAGAGATGTGTTTTGAGTGCAGTTTTGAAGGCCTGGATGGTCGGTGTATTGCGGATGTGTAGTGGGAGAGAATTCTATTGTTTCGGAGCAGAGAAAGATCGTTCACCATATGTTTTATTTTCGTGTCTTGGGAACAGAAAGAATACGCGTGTCTGGGGGAGGAGCGGAGCTGTCCAAGGGGTGAAGAGACAGAAAGGAGTTCGGTAAGATGGGAAGGGCAGGAATCCGAGAAAAAGTTTTGGCAGAGGACAGAGAGTTATAGTCGATACGTGCTTGAAAAGGGAGCCAATGGAGTGAATGGAGTAGTGGAGTTGTGGAGTGAAAGGATTCGTGGAGTTGTCAAACTTGACATTCGATTATTTAGATCTAGTTTTAATTTTAAATTTTTTTTTTTAATGAGTGAGGGTAAGAGGGGGGGGGTGAGTTTGCTCATAATAGATGAAAAGTCTAATCCAGTACGGGTACGGGAGAAAGGTTGGGAACCGCTCGTCTAGGTTAAAGTCGACATGTACAAGTTGTGTGTTTAGTATTCAAGCTGCAGAGATTCTCAACTTGTTTTCTGGCGATGTCCACCCTCCTAAATGTAATGATGTTTGCGTTGACGAGTCCTCTTGTAACAACGTTAATAGTCCATAAACCCAATTCATAATTTGATTTTTTTTTTCATATTTGAAGGCCCACGATCAATTCATTGATTATTTTGGCTCCTGGCTTGCATTCAGAGCTTGCCTGCTCTTAGATAAGTTGTCGTCCAAGGCTAACGAGTTCCGTACACAAGGGGTGCTTGGGATGTTGACTTCTGGTGCACTAGCATTTGTTGTCTTGGCTACAATTCTTTCTTTTTTTCTGCATTGTAATCTTAGGGCTTTGTTGCCAACCGCTTTTTTTTTAATCCATCAAGCCCCCGAGGATGTCAAATTCCTATAAATGATTCAAAATTAAATCTTTTAATGGGAGATCGATAGTTAATTGCGATTTTAAGATGACGGTTTAGGGGAAAAGTGGGGTGAGGGGATCTTGTTGTCTTTGTAGTTTTTAAATAATAAATTGTGTCACCTTTCTGTTTGGCCTACTTTTCTAACTGTGACGTAAAACTGTCTTATGAAGTACGTTGTAATTAGCCCCATGTTTTATAAACAAATATTTAGATGACCTGTCTACAATGTTGACGCTGGAACAAAAAAATATCTTCAAAATAAAGTATTGGAAATGAGAGATTCGGGTGCCAGGCATGTTTTACGCGATGGCCACCTTTGGCCAACGTGTGGCCTGTCGCGTGGCTAGGGTATATAGTCTGTCACGTATGTAATATATATATATATATATATATATATATATATATAGCCTACCACGCAGCTAGAGTAAAAAGCCTTCACGCAGCAAGGGTATATAGCCTGCCACGTAGCTAGGGTATATAGCCTGCCACGTTGTTCGGGTATATAGCCTGTCACGTAGCTAGGGTATATAGCCTGTCACGTAGCTAGGGTATATAGCCTGTCACGTAGAAAGGGTACGTAGCCTGTCACGTAGCCAGGGTGTATAGCCTGCCACGTAGTTAGGGTGTATAGCATGTCATATTTAATTCAAATTCATGAAATGTATGTGTTACTGATGTCACAAGCTCTTGTGTTTGATGTCACAAGCTCTTGTGTTTATGTCTTTTGTCACTTAATTAAAAGCTCAAGTACGCTTCACCAGTTTTCTTGCAGGAATTGTGTCTCTAAAATTCTTATAATTGTATGATAGTGACGACGTTTTATTTAGAGTACATTCAAATGCATTCAATCTAAAGTGATCCCACCCCCATTTTTTTAAATTAAAATTCAGTTTAATTTTATTCTTGTTTGTTTATATCTTTCTTCAAACTCTGCCTGAACAATTTATTGAAACATTTAAAAACATTCATTCAATTTAACAGACTGTCATTAAACGCAGTCAATGATTTAGATCAGCGGTTCTCGACCTGTGGGTCGGGTCGAACGACCCTTACACACAAGGGTCGCCTAAGACCATCGGGAAACACATTTATTATGAAGTAGCAACCAAAATATTTTTTTGTTTGAGGGTGGGGGGGGGAGGAATCACTACAACGGCACTATCACTACAATCACTATCACGGCATTAGGAAGGCTGAGAACCACTGATTTAGATTAACTCATTCGTTATCATTGATTTCAAATAAGCGAACAATTTGACTGCATCCGGTGCAGCCAGTAAACCAAAGATACCCACGAAGACAGCCACGCCCATGTAGCCTAACGTCTGTGACGTCACTCTCTGATCAGTGACACTCATCTTGGTTCTTTTGTAAGACGACAGGTCGTGAACGTCTAAGCTCAGTCGATGGATTGTGTTGTGGATGTAGTCGATCGTACTGGGTATGCTGATGTTGCCGTCTGACACGCCGCGACAGTGGCACGGACACCTGTTTGCGTCTGACGTGTCGGAGGCGACACAGCCGTGTTGGTCGTCTGCAAGGAAGAAGCCGTCTCGGCAGGAGCAGACGTAGGAGCCGTTGGTGTTGTGGCAGGTTTGTGAACATGCGTGTATGCCGAGATCACACTCGTTGACGTCGGCGCAAAGTTCGGGCCCGTCGTCGTGGTAGCCGTCCCAGCAACCGCAAGAGTAACCTCCCCGTGTGTTGACGCACAGCTGGGCACACGGCGGCACGCCGCTGGCACACTCATCCACGTCTACACACGTCTTGTTGTCCGAACGCAGTGTGTAGTTTTCATAGCACGAGCACGTGTAGGAACCTTCTGTGTTAACACAAGAGTGCTGGCAACCAGTGAGAGCCAGCATGCACTCATCGACGTCAGCACACGGCCCGGTATCACTAGACCTGGCGTATCCGGTACTACAGCCCTCCACAGCGCGGGTAGTCTCTTCGCCCGAGTTCGAACCTCCGCCCACGGTGGAATTTTCAAATCCGATTAATGCAGTGCACGATTTAGCGTCTGAATTAAGTGTGTTACCTTCATGACACGAGCACACGTAGGATCCAGCCGTGTTGGTGCACACCTGGTCACACAGATGTTCTATGTCCTTGCACTCGTCAATATCCACACAGCTGAAGCCGTCGGCCTCTAAGATCCAGCCAGTCTTACACTCGCATGTGTATCCTTGCGTTGTGTCCACACATACATGGCTACAGCTGTGTGCGGCAGAGCTGCATGCCCCCGCAGATTTACACAAGTAAAAATATCTTTTCTCACAGTCGGTGTCCTTCAGGACTCCGTAGCCCTTGTCGAAATAGATCCGGACGCAGCACGACTTCGGAACTTTCCGGCAGCCCGAGTCCGGCTCACCGGAAGCCCAGACTTTGTCGGAGAGCTCCTCCTGCTTCCACCAGTGCTCGTACTTCCCGTCTGAATCTCCGTCCTTGACAAGGATGTCTACCAGCAGCTCATCCACGCGCAGTTCATGGTCAATGATGTAGGACGAGAGAAACGAGGACACGTTGTGGAACTCGGCATTGGTGTCAAACAACGCCAGCTGAGACCCTGCCTCAGAGCAGCTGGAGCCAGCTTCTTCTGTGTCGGCCGTCGTGGAGGACATGAGGTAGTCTTGTCCGTTGATGTTAAGAACGTTGAACGTGGATGGTTCGGCTGATGTTAGGACAAGGCACCCTAAAGTCATCAAGAACAGAGAGTTATTTAATATGAATATTAATGAATGCACGAGTGTTAGAATGATAGCAGCTTCTGGGCAGACTGATATTTAAATGCGAGACTTTGTTATATCGACATAAGCTTTAGTGGCCAAGGAACTGGCGCTATGAAGCTCGTAACTTTTTGCCTTGGATTTAAGCTAAAACATCTCTTTGCGAAACAAAAAAAATATGTCATTGTACGTTAACTTTGACACACCATTATAAAAACACGAGTGTGTGCTGTGCAATCATCTTCTTATAAAACTAATGTTAATCCACAAAATAATTGCGTTTGACAGGTTTAACCTGATTCGCTTAGCATAAAAATTAAGTTATCGTTTCTATAACAAAATCATGTTTTCATCCCGATGGTAGTCCACTTATGACTTACCATCTAATAGCACAGTTGTGTAGACAAGGCGCCATGCATGATACATCGCTGGCGTCATTGTTGTGTCTAACATCAGGTCTGTTCTGTCAGTGAATGCCTGAGATCCGATCAAGAACTCTGGTCACTGAGTGGTTGTCTTTACTTCCTGTTTAACCTGTTGAGTTGAATTATTCAATGTGAAATGGGCCCGAGATTTCACAAGACACTTAATAGAATCAATGCTCTAAATAAGGATTGGACGACTGATCGTACAATCAATTTGGCTGATACATGTAAAAGATCATACCATGCCTTTGTTTGATACATGTAAAAGATGGTACCATATATTTGGCTGATACATGTAAAAAGTTCTACCATCTCTATGGGAGATTCATGTAAAAGATCGTACCATATCTCTGGGTGATACATGTAAAAGATGGTACCATATCTCTGGGTGATACATGTAAAAGATGGTACCATATCTTTGGCTGATACATGTAAAAAGCTCTACCATCTCTATGGGAGATTCATGTAAACGATCGTACCATATCTCTGGGTGATACATGTAAAAGATGGTACCATATCTCTGGGTGATACATGTAAAAGATGGTACCATATCTTTGGCTGATACATGTAAAAGATGGTACCATATCTCTGGGTGATTCATGTAAAAGATCGTACCATATCTCTGGGTGATACATGTAAAAGATGGTACTATATGAGTGATATATGTAAAAGATCTTACCATCTCTTTGGGGGATACATGTAAAAGATCTTACCATCTCTTTGGGGGATACATGTAAAAGATCTTACCATCTCTTTGGGGGATACATGTAAAAGATCTTACCATCTCTTTGGGGGATACATGTAAAAGATCTTACATACTCTTTGGGGGATATATGTAAAAGATCGCTCTCTTTTAGTAATAAAAAGATAGCCGCTTGTCAACTGTCCTTGCTGTGAAAACATTATTGTCTCCACTATTAGTGTACCAACAGTTCACTATTGGTGTACCAACAGTTATTGCTAGAGTTCTGGCCTACAAAACAAATTGGTGGAGGGTTTGTAGAGGGCCATTCAAATTTAAAATTCCTTTGAAGACTCGCTCTGATCGATTGATGACTTGCCGATAGTCTGGGATTACAAATCGATAGTCTTAATTATACTTGACCCTGCTCGAGGAGCACGTGGTGAGTAGCATAAAGGAAGACCAAATATGATATTACAAGGGCTTAACCGGGAGCAGTTTCTTACACCAGGTCCGAGTATTTTGAGAAAATAACCAGTGGGCACACGAATAATATAACATCATCATTTTTTTTCCAGACAATGTCCACAATGTCATAGGATCGGACACACGACTGATATAACATCATCATTTTTCCAGCCAATGTCCACATATTGTCATAGGGTTCATGATAAAATCGATCAAACACATCCTATTCCAGGACAGTCATCACTGGACACAGTGTAAAACGTAAACCGAATTCTGCAACAAGGGGTTGATAGGAAGGGCAGGAATCCGAGAAAAAGTTGTGGCAGAGCACAGACCGATTCTTATATGTTGAGCTTAAAACACTACACACTTTGGTGATAAACACAATTACCGGTATGTTGATAATTTTGGGGATTTAATTTTAATCTTAGACTTTTGTTATTTTATGCAAGTGGCTCCATTTGAAAAGTTTGAATCAAATTGTTTAACAATCGATAGATTATCGTTTTCTCTGGGTGGAAAAAAAATGAAGGTTGTCGGAGGATAAAAATTTCTCTTTATCTGCATCGGTTTCCTCTCCTCCTAGAGAACTTACGTTTTTTACACATCATAATTCACCCATGATCTTTTCAAGTTTGAAAGTGTGGCCGATATTTGATTTACTAACTTAGAGGTTTGCTAATATGGCGATGATAGAACTACCTCTCCAAATAATAACAAGGTTACAACAAATGATGTTGGTAACTGTAGTAGGTCAAAGAGATAGATCAGGCCCTTTCTTAATGTCATTTTTAACTACTGTGTTTTCAACTAGTTGTTTCAATTTTTTTTTCCCTCAAGCGACCACATCATAAATCAAGTTAAAATGACCCGCGAAGTTTCTGGTAACATTCAGATACCGAGCCACTGAAAGCTTCGACCTGACGGATCCATAAAATCAAGGAACTCTCCCTTATCATGCAAATTCTGCTTCCTTGTTCTTGATGACTTTCGATTACAAAACTAATAGTTGTTATATGTTTGGCTTACCGACTATCAAGTTGGTGCCAGGTTGTTTTTAAATAGTTTCTCTCATCGGTAGTTGGGGGGAGGGGGGGTACGGGGGAGAGAGAGAGAGAGAGATAGAGAGGCAGGTGCTAACTTCCAATGTTATATGAAAAAGATTGAATCAAGTGCATGCGAACTCGGTACGAAGTATCTTAAATATATATTTAGCTTCTGGTATGGCTGCTTCCTTCTCACAACCGGCCTCTCCGCTACTCAGCATGTTTTATATGATCAGTAATGAGTGAAGGGGGTAAAGCTGTCAAGCAGCGACCGTCATGCGTGACGGTTGAACTCAGGTAAAAATGTTCAATTTTTTTCGGAGAAGACTATTATACTAATCCATGAAGAGCCACGGGTGTGGTGAAGGACTATTGTTTCAAGGCCGACAGATAGGGTGTAGGACTGTATGTATGCCTGTTGTTGAAAGGCCGGCATATATCGTAGAAAATGAGGTTACCTTTTTTTAGCACTTGGGCCCACCAGGTATTTTCTCAAAGTACCCGTACCGCGGGTTAAGCCCTAGTATGTATTGTATTTTTATCGGTCTCAAATTGAATGTTCTGTTTCCCTACAAGCAGTGGCGTAGCTAGGGTTGGCGTAGCTAGGGTTGGCGTAGCTAGGGTTGGCCTAGCTAGCTAGGGTTGGCGTAGCTAGGGTTGGCGTCACCCGGTGCGGTGAACCCATGTGTCACAACCCCCACCCCATTTTTTTTATTTTTTTTATTAACCGCGATGTAATTCATCTTGTTAACATAAGTCCACAGTAAAACAATGGCAAGAACAAAAACAAATTAATGGATTGTAAGGAGGTAGATGTATTTAAGAACTGTTACAAAAATGGTGTCAGAAAAGTCCAGCAGTCAAAATATGACAATCGTGATCAAATGTTGAGGTGCGATGCTAGTTTCAATTGGCGAAAATATTAACTTATTTTTAGCATTTCTGGGTGTCCATATAGTTGGTTTGAAAAACGTTCTTTTAGTTTCAATAAAGTTACATTAATTCTTAAAAGATATTAGAAAATGTTGTAAAGTATGTATTTTGTTAACCCCATAAATGGGTAAAAATTCATTTTTTAATGGGTTTTTTATATTTTTTTAACGATTCGATTCTAGTACTAACAATCGCCTGACCGAAAGTTTTATTTCTCAGAATTTAGATAAATATAGCTTCCTGCCACTTATAGGTTAACAAACTTTTCAATCAGCATTGAATCATTGTAAAAGCGGTGCTTTTTTATCTAAATATAGGGTCATCTCATTTCTGACACATCAACCTTTAACTTTTAATAAAGCACGCATTTGGATTGGTTACATTTGTAGAAAATTTACTTGTGATCAGTTATCTTTTAATCAAATTCAGTTTGACCGAGCAGTGTGTGCCCTGTAAATACGCAATTTTTCGATTTGCTGCCACCCCTTAAGATGGTTTCACCTGGTGCAGTCAGCACCCCACCCCCCACCCCTAGCTACACCACAGTGTACGCGTCCAAAAAAAAATGTGTTTTATTTCACACTCCAAAATTAGAATTTCCTGTTTAATATCTATTTGCTCTTTACACAAAAGTGAGGGACAAAAATCAATTGTTACTATGTAACATGCCAATATTTCACTTAAATACGTTCAGTTTTAACTCAGAAACTACGTGCCAGGCCTTGTACTCGATCGTGGGTGGCGAGAATGTGCGAAACTGTTGAATAACTAGACGGACAAAGATGGACTTTCCCCGGCCATTGAAACCTGTTAAATGCCATCTGTAGCTTGTAGTGCACGGAGCTATTCAACTGTGTCATTCGTTTCAGTTACTGTACGGAGCTATTCAACTTTGTCATTAGTTTTTGTTCACAGTTAACCACCCAGTCGTCTCATTCATGCCGCGAAGTGTTTGTTTTTTAGATAAATAAACACCGTCTTTTGCTCTCATAATTCATAAATGTATCAACACACGTTTATGAATAATTATATAGTACACGTGCCTTACCTCGGATGTAAGCGGGCATTACAACATACATTTTTTGTTGTTTTAGTTTTGTTGTTTTTTTTGTGTTTTTTTTTTTTCTGTTTTTTTTTAAAATTTCCTCAACGAAAAAAATGCAGTACTCCTGTAGCATGACTCATTCAACAGTGGCATCCATGGAAGGTTGATCGGGTGTCCACCTCCAGAGACCGAGTTAACAACTGACGGAGCTCACCGACCAAAGAGACGTCCTAAGTCTTAACATACCCCCGTTTCCATGACGACTGGACGCGGCTTCTGCTCGGCTCTACTCCGAGGGTTGGTTTTTAATGTGTCCGTCAACAACCGAACAGATTCGAGCTCTGCATGCCGTGATAGATCACGTTTCGTTGCCGAATCTGGCGCGACTGGAGCATCTCACGTGACACAGATGTTGGCTTGTGTGTCCTGGTGCCCAAGTTGATGAGACTGTTGCTTTGTTTTGTTTGTTTTGTTTTTTTAAAATAACACTCGACTCTAATTGTTCCAGATCACAAGATTAGTTTGAAATGCAAATACACTTAAAATGCCTATAATATTATGTTTGAACTAATGTTATTAGTGTGTACGGCATTTGATAGGTTTTACCGTAAAGATAAGTTGAAACATTCATTCAAACAACATTTAGCTGGACCATTTTGTATATGATAGTGATAGGTTTTCCCGCAAAGATAAGTTGAAACATTCTTTGAAACAACGTTTAGCTGGTCCACAATGTATTCGCTTGCCTCCATGTACTGGATCATTTGAAGTCGTGTTGGTGCGTCGTTGCCATGGTTTCTTTTGTTGACGACATCCGCCATCGCATGTCAGAACCGATTGTAAACCTTCGCTAGATCTGACTTTAATTGCATGTAAGACATGGACAATGGAAGCAGTATTAATGCTATCCTCTGTATTTTATTTTTCCCCCCCTCCT